TGTTACCAGTGATGTGATCGGTGGCGCCTGAGTCAAGAACCCAAGGGCCAATAGAAGAAGAGTGAGTCGGACCGACAAAAGATGTACCTGTGTGGGCAACGAAGTAGTGGAGCTGGAGGGCTTTCGATCCTCATACCATTGAAGAAAATCATTGAAGATAGCAGATTTGTTCGAAGGTACGAGACGAAGGAGGATCCACGACGAGAGGATTGTGCGGAAGAATCGAGTCCGAGCAAGCTGCAGCGGATCGACGAGGATAACCATGTAAAGCATAACATTTGTCAATTTTGTGGCCTAGTTTGCCACAATGGTCACACTTGACACGCCCTTTGCCTGGCTTGTGAGAGCGATTACGATCATCACGGTGAGAGGCCAAGGCGAGATGAATCATTAGAAACTACGGGGGAATATTGAGAGGTTTACATGGCACCCGCAAAGGGAGGAAGCTGGTAGCGGTAAAGCCGGGTGTAACAGGAGAACCCAAAATCTGGTCACGAACAGGGGCATATTTATCGGCAAGTCCGTGTAACATCAAAACCATGAAAAACTTTGATCGTTGCTCTAATTCTTGGGCAGGAGTCGAGGCGGGGGTAATAACTCATTAAATTCATGGAGAAGAGCATGGATCTTACCCACATAATCCGCCACAGGATCCTTATCTCGAGGAGCAATAACATCAAGAAGATTGTAACAAACACCATAAAGACGTTGAGTGTCATTGGTGTATAATAATTTGACTTGTTCCCAAACGTCATAACATGTGCCATACGATCGAAAAATTTGTTTTAAAGAAGATTGGATGGTATTCTTGAGAACCATACATATATGAGCATCAACTTTCTTCCAACGGACACGATCATTGGAAGGAACATCATCTACCTTGGTAGTAAGATGATCAACATACCCACGACTCTCAAGCCAAAGTCTAATATCGGATGCCCAAGTTGCATAATTCGTACCATCTAATTTATCAATGGGTAAATTCACATTGACATAATTAGTAAAAGCAGATTGCTCGAGACCCACCGGAGTCGACGGAGGTAACTTCGAGTTGGAAGTGGCGGCGGAAGATGCCATGGAAGAAGAGAGAGAAAAACCCTAAAACACCAAAGAGGTCCGATTGGAGCGGCGAGGACAGATCCGAGAGAGAGGAGAAGGAGGCGACGCCGGCGCAAAGATCGGCGGCACTGAACGGCGGCGAGACGCGCCGCCACACGCGGCGGAACGGGAGAAGGTGGCGCGGCTCGGGAGGCGCGTGAGGGAGCGTGGCTGCTCCGATGACCGCGAAACTTCCACGGTGGAGGTCGCACGGAGGAGGCGAGCAAAACCACTGTGCTCGGCGGTCCGAATGCACTACTGCGCGACGGCGGCGGCGGCGGACGGCGGTGGCGATGGAGGCGGCGACAACTGCAGGTTCAGTGGCAGAGCCGAAAAAAATCCCAAGAGACCTTAAGCTCTTGATACCATGTTGAATATAGGGTTAATTTCCCTTATGTATTTACCACACATAGGGCAGTGTATTTATAATAAAGAAAGGTACTCCTCAAAAGAGTAACAGAATACAAATAGGGTAAATAAAAAGATATTATTTGATATTGTGATTAACAATATCTAACAATATCTCAACAATATCAAACAATATCAACTAATATCTAATCATATCTAACAGCCCCGATCTCCTCGTCCATTGCCTTTTTCCACCTTTTCTCTTGCACGGCCTCTTCAAAACTTAAGTCTTTTGAATCTGCTAAGAGACATACAACATGCACTTCGTTAGTGGAGTTGTATATATCTTGTAAACTTCGCGTTCTGGACTGTAGAGGTTCATCTTCTTCATCAGAAGTCTCATGATCTCTCACAGTATGTGGTGTATCAACTTCCGAGCTTCTACTTCCTATGGACTCCTTCTCCGAGTTGTTCCAACTCCACTCGCTTTCTTCATCAATTTTTAATATCTCGGCTCATGATGACCTTAGTTATTGGGTTAAACAACCTGTACGCCTTGGTTTTTTTCATCATACCCAATAAACACGTACTTTTTGCTTCTATCTTCGAGCATGGTCCTCTGTTGAGCTGGAACATGACCATAAGCTATGCTATCGAACACTTTAAGGTGAGACACAATCGATTTTCTTCCACTTCAGACTTCTTGCGGTGTCTTCTCATTCATCTTAGCATGTGGACATCTATTTTGCACATAGATGGCACATTGCACTGCTTCTGCCCAGAACTCCTTTGGCACGTTTTTGCTTCTCAACATTGTTCGAACCATGTCAAGAATGGTTCGATTCTTCCTCTCGGCAACTCCGTTTTGTTTGGGTGAGTATGGTGCTGTCAGAAATCTCCTTATCCCTTGCTCCTCGCAATACTTCATGAGTTCGGATGAAATGAACTCGCCTCCTCGATCAGACCTAACAGATTTGATAGGCATGTGAGTCTCTTTCTCAACCATTGCTTTAAATCTCTTGAACACCTCAAACACCTCGGATTTCTCCTTCAAAAAATATACCCAGGTTTTTCTTGAAAAATCATTTATAAAAGAAATGAAATACCTTTTCCCACTGAAGGACTCAGGGGTAACCGGTCCACAAAGATCTGTGTGAATCAATCCGAGTTGTTCCTTTGCACGGTACTCGGCCGTCCTCGGAAATGAGGTCCTTGGATGCTTCCCGAGCACACACTCTTCACAGAATTTCTTTTCAAATTCCATAGACGGGAGTCCTCGCACCATCTCTTTCTTTACCAACTCGGTCAGCCCACCAAAATGCAAGTGGCCAAATCGAAAGTGCCACATCATTGTTTCATCCTTCACGTCAAGTTTCAAGCACCTCTCTTGGACTATCTTCAAGTCCAGCTTGTACATTCTGTTCTTCTTCATTTCTACTCGGGCAATCAAACGATCCGACTTGTCCTTCAGGTATAGTACTCGATCTTTCATCAGAACCGAGTAGCCTTTCTCCATCAGCTGACCCATGCTCAGTATGTTGCTTTTGAGATCGGGTACATAGTACACGTCTCTGATTTCTCCAACTTGGCTATTCTTCTGCAGGTACCAGATTGTACCTCTGCCTTTTACTGCCACCTTTGATGCATCTCCAAATGACACGTGTCCGGCCTCAACTTTAGTGAGCTCCTTAAAAAGGTTCTCGTCCCCGCACATGTGGTTACTTGCTCCTGTATCAAGATACCAAACCGAGTTGTCAGAACAGCTCGGACTTAGCTCGACATCCGAACTTCTCGACATCATCAATACTCCTTCTTCCTTAGCGTCCTCAGAAAGGAGATTTGTTTCCTTCTTGCTCTCAAATTGGCATTCCTTCGCGAAATGCCCAACCTTTCCACAATTATAACATTTAATACTTGAATAGCAGTCCTCAGCAAAATGACCGCACTTCCCACATTTGAAGCACTCAACTCCAAAATTGCTTGACTGACCACCTCGACCTCTACCTTGTCCTCGGCCACGCCAGTTTTGTTGACTGACTTGCTCTTTACTTCTTTCATATCCTCCTCTACCACCTCGGCCTTGAGTATTCTGAGCATAAGGAACCTTCTTCTCCTTTAAGGTTGCCTTTGCTTGGAGTGCTTGATCAAGGGACTCCTCTTTCTTCTTCCTTCTCCGCTGCTCTTGCGCTTCAAGCGACCCGGCAAGCTCTTCCACCAAGAGCACCGACAAGTCCTTGGACTCTTCTATTGCACAAACGATATTCTCAAAGTCGTCAGTTAACGACCTTAAGATTTTCTCCACCACTCGGCAAGTGGGCAGCGTCTCTCTATTTCTTCCGAGTTGATTCACCACGGTCTCAACACAGGAGATGTACTCGGCAACCCCTTCGACCTCTTTCATCCTCATGCTTTCAAGCTTGCCTCTAAGAACTTGAAGCCTGACTTGCTTCACGCGATTATCCCCTTTATATGCCTTCTCCAGAATATCCTATGCTTCTTTTGAAGATTTAGCATTTGCTATCTTCTCAAAGCCAGACTCATCAACAGCTCGGTACAACACGTATAAAGTCGTTTTGTCCTTTACTCGTGTTGCTCTCAATGCAGCAAGATGGACAATCGTCTGCTCTTCAATATTCTCTCGTTCTTGGTGCCCATTTTCGACCACATCCCATACTTCCTGGGAACCAAGGAGAGCCTTCATTTGCAGGCTCCAGTTATCATAGCTTACGCCTTTCGATAACTTTGGCAGGGGCATGCTGTTAGCTAAGTTGGTCATCTCGAACAAACTCTCTAACTCTCAAACACTCTCTCTAACGCACTCAGACACTCACTGATGTCAATTTGTTGACAAACAAGTATCTAAATAAAACACTCTGTATATTATCACTTGATGTGTTTGCAATGAGTGGTACATGGTCAATTTATAGGCCTTTGGATATGGCCTCTCAACTACATGCATTTAATACAACTACTACCTTTCAACTACATACATTCAATACAACCACTATCTCTCAATTACATACATTCAATACAACTACTACCTCTCAACTACTACCTCTATAACCACTACCTCTCAACTACATGCATTTAATGTTTACCTAACATTTCTATCATTTGGATGATATGTGACGATCACATAGTAGCATGTCTTCTTTGTTTTTACGTACTACTCTCTATAATACAATGGTGAAGTTCTTTATATATGGTCAGTGGCGGATCTTCTTGGGAGCTGAGGGGGGTCACGGCCCCCCCAAAGTTTTGTAATTCCCATGTAATTTATGATTTTGGCCCCCCCAAACTTAATGAATATTTAATATATTTACTTACATATTTACAATTTTATCTTCTCAGTCCCTCCTCAGTTTTGTAACTTTCGTATAATTTATGATTTTGTCTCCCTCAAACTTAATGATCATTTAATATATTTAAGTATATATCTACAATTTTATCTTTTCACCTTTTCATCTTCTTTCTTCCTTTTATATTTATTTATTATTTATTAATAGTATATTATTTGGCCTCCCAAAATCAATGGTGAAGATCCGCCACTATATATGGTACAAAAGAGCATTACTTTTACTTAAAGAGTTTTCTTGTTTTTGTTTCCACGTGTTAGAATTGTTTTTTCCTATGGAATGGTATATTTATGATAGATGTTCCCATGTCTATCAGATTTAAACAAACTTGGGGGACTTGTTGCGGTTACAAAAGAACTTAATCACTCTGATCCAGGTATAAGGACAGTTGCTGCATGGGTTCTTGGGAAAGCTAGTCAAAATAATCCAATTGTTCAGCAGCAGGTTATTTTTATTTTATTAGCTCTTAGGCATTGACAGTGTAAACAATATATTAATGCTGACAAATTGACTGTCCCAGGTCATGGAAATTGGAGTGCTCTCAAAGCTGATGAAAATGGTAAACTCTAATTCCGTAGAAGAAGCCAGTAAAGCATTATATGCTGTTTCAGCTTTGATTCGGAATAATTTGGCTACTCAGGAATTGTTCTTTGGTGAAGCTGGAGGTTGGATGCTTCAGGTGAACTCTCTAAGGTTAAGTTAATTTTATTTTGAAACAACTTTTCAGAATTGAAAATAACACTGATGATTTTTTAGGATATTTTGAACAATGCAAGTGTGGATATTAAACTACGGAGGAAAGCCGTACTTCTATTGGCTGATCTAGCAGGGTATCAATTAGAAAATGTAGATAGAGGCGAACCACCATTTTTCAGTGACCAGAACCTGTTGAAATCTGTGGTGGACTTAACTGCATCAACCAACCTTGACATCCAGGAAAAGGTGATTGTTGACACTGCACGTGATATTTTAGTTAGAGCATGCCTGATTTGTTTTATGAACCTTAGCTGTGTAATGCCAACATAAAATATCATTTTGGACTGCTCTTCTTTTGTAACATCGTTCCATTATGCATGATATATAAAATTGATAGAGGTCTACCTTTCCTGTTTCCCAATCTATGCTATCTCAATTCGACCACAATGTTTTGCATTTCTGGTGGTGGTAACATGCTCTTGGACGTAGTTAGAAAGAAATTGTTCAGATTTATTTTTGAAACGAGGATTAAACCAGTCATTTTAAATTCTTTATTCAAGTTAAACAAACACTTTCAGAAGAGGGAAATAATAATAGGGAAAATGAATAAACTTTCATCATAAATTAAAATCTAGTTATGCGTCTCAACTTTTGAGAAAAGTTAGATGAAAACATCTCTAAAAGTTAAAATGCATAATTTAATGTTGTGGAGAAATTTAGTTCATTTTAATTTTTTTTATTTTTTCCCATACATACTTATAGAATAATTTATCCAAATAAAACGTTTACAAATCTTGTATTGGCAGATTGACCATTTTGGTGGTTTATGTTAAGCTTTTGGTTTGACTTTTGGCATTGTTTGTGGGATGTATTAATCAGGCCCTTGTTGCGATTAAGAGTCTTTTGCAACTAAGAACCACTGTGACTCGGGTTTTCAAGGACTTCTGTGATTTAGGCGATGCACTGAACAGAGTGAGGCAGTTGTTGCATGATTTGATGGAGGATGAGTATCAGAGAGACTATGTGATGGATCTGGAACGTCTTCGTGTTGAAGTGGAACACATTTTCCAGAAAAAGCTGGCACATCAATGATAGCAGTTGAAATCTCCTAAATGTTTTGTAGTTGATTTTGTATCGTTATCTAGTTTATAGAGTTTGCTAACAATTTGGATGCTTGTCAGTACATGTTAAACTAAGGTATTAATGTTTGTTTTATAATTGTACAGTTTAATCACCGTAAATTTACTAGTGTGTTTGATGATTTCTGAGTTAGTTTTCTTTTTGCTATAATTCTTAGTATTTTTTTTATCCCCTAAAATTATAATCGATTATGTGTAAATTTATTCACACTCATTTCTAGGAAAGAATGAGACGAAAACATAAAATGAGGTTTGCACAAATTAATTTATAAGCTAATTTTGGCTTTTTGATGTGTTTTCTTAATTTTCTTTTCTCTCCTATACCTAGTCTAAAGAGAAGTGCATAAGGAATGCTGAAAAGTTATTTGTAGATCAATTAAATACTAAACGATTTTTAAAGACTTCATTTCCAACTCTTACGAAAATATATTTATAAATTTGGAGGACGCGAAAAAAAGATAAACATTTATAATTTTATAAGATTAAAAATATATTTTACCGAAGAATCGATATGATGACTTTTTTTTTTCCAAATGGGTGTAACTATTTTTCAAATTTACTAAACTAAGTAAATTTAAAAAAAACTACGGATTTAGGTGAACCGTGAAGTCATACTTTGTAACAAGATTTAGATTTTTTTTCCGTTATAACGAATTTTTTTTCCATTAAAACGAAATAAAAAATTTATGTAGAAGTGATACATCTAGAATTCTAATTTTATATTATAATAATTATTATAATTAAATAATAATATATTTTATATTTTTTAAAATAAATTAAATAATAATGATAAAACATTAATTTATATTATTATTATAAAAATTATTTATTTTATTATTTAAATTAATATTTTATTATTATTAATAATAAAATAAAAATAATACTATTAAAATTAATATATTATAATAACTAATATTATTTCAATTTTATTACTAATAATAAAATAAATTAATAATTATAATTATATAAAATAAAAATATTATTAAAAATAAAATAGTTATTTTAATAATTATAATTCTATTACTTATTTATATATTTATTATTATTATTATTATTTAATAAAAATATAAATTTATTAATAATTATACATTATTAATATTATTTTATTATTATTATTATTAAAATAATAATAATAATAAACTTATATTTATTAATAGAATTATTATTAATATTATTTTTATTAATAATAATATTATTAAATTTATTAATAATAATTCATTTCTATATTATTTTATTTTAATAATATTAATATAATTAAATATTACATTAATAATTATAATTCACACAATAATTATATTAATTTAAATAATAAAATAAACAATAAGTCTAATAATAATATAAATTAAATTATTATCATTATTATTTAATTTATTATTAATAATATAAAATATATTATTATTATTTATAATAATAATTATTATAATATAAAATTAGAATTCGTATTGGATAGTATGAATAGCACGACTTTTTCATTTAAAAAAAAAAACAAGTAGCTTCGTATCTAAGAGCACGATTTACCCAAATCCATAATATTAAAAAAAAAAAATTACACCCGTATAGTAGAAAAAACCAATATGATATTATTATATAAAATAACTAGTGCTTAGACTTGAAAGGTATATTTGTGCATGAACCACGTCACCCCTTATTGACTTTTATCATCTCAGTATCCCTTATTGACTTGTATCATCTCACTACTTTACATCTCACCATCCCTTATTGACTTGTATCATCTCACTACTTTACATTTAAAAGAATTCGGATATTCTGAGAGTCGCCTCAGTAGTTTATTTTTAAAAATCTCACGTGAGAGAGTTTTTGGGAAAGTCACCTCATTAATTTACATCCAAAAAATCTAGTTTTGGGAATTAAAGGGGTTGCTCCAAAGTTTTGTAACTCTCATATAATTTATAATTTTGGTCCCAAAAACTCAATAAACATTTAATATATATATTAATATATTTACAAATTATCCTCTCATCTTTCTCTTTGTAATGATCATTTAATATATTAACTAATATATTTATAATTTTATCCTCTCATCTTCCTATCAGTTTTATAACTTCCATATAATTTATGATTTTGACCGTAAACTTAATGATAATTTAATATATATATATATATATATATATATAATTTTATCTTCTCATCTTTTCATTTTCTTTTATATTTATTTATTATTTATTAATAATATATTATTTGACCCCAAAATCAATGATTAAGATCCACCATGATCTTATAATATGTAAATAGTACATATTATCACTAGTGCAATAAGGGGTTTTTACGTTAGGTATTTTGGGCTTTTTACGTCGTATTTAAGACTGACGTTAAAATGGGAGACGTAAATTTACATCAGACCCCTTAGCTCGACGTAAATTTACGTCAGTTATCAAGACCCAACGTGAATTTACGTTGCATATACTACTAAACAGACGTAAAAAGTTTCAAAAATTAAAAAAAGAAGAAGCAAATTTACGTCGCGTATTGGTATACGTGACGTAAATTTACGTCGCATATTGGTATATGTGACGTAAATTTGCTCCTTTTTTAAAAAAGTTGTCTTACAACTAAAACCTGCAAATATATATTACAACCAGACAGTCCAGAGGTTTAAGTTTTTTTAGCTAGTAAATTAAAAATATAATATTATATATAATTCAAACTACATAATAAAACAATATAATACAAACATACAAACTAAAATCTATTACAAACTAAAAGTTAGTACAAACTAAGCTACCTAAACTACATAATACACACAATATAATATGAACAATAATCTAAAAAATTAAGTACTAGAATTGTTGAAGGAAAAACCTTGTCCATTGTTCTCTAATTTGTGTAATATCATATTTTAGCAATGAAGATGGATCTTGAAATACCTGAAACATTAATTTGACTCTTGTAAACATGCAACATGCATAAAGTTAAATAAACTTAACTAATGTTCAGAGTAATTACCTCCGTCCAATAATCAATTATACCTGCACAAACTATGATTCTCATCCAATACATAACATAGTAACCACATTCAAATGAGTCGATTTGCTTATTACACTGAAATGATGAATAAAACATAATGTTATTTTCAAAATTTAAATGCAAATTGTTAGGTATTGTTTAGATATTATTTGATATTGTTAGATATTGTTAACCACAATATCAAACAATATCTTCTGTTTATTCTGTTACTTTCAGTTACTCTTTTAGTTATATCTCTCTACTATAAATAGACTACCCTATGTGTTATTTATACACAAGGGAGATTAATCTCAAACTCTATTTCTTCTATATATTCAACATCGTATCTAGAGCTTAAGGTTATTTTGAAATTTTTTTCGCCTTTGACCACTGTTGGAGTCATCACCGCCGCTATCGCTGTCGGTTAAACTGATCTTCCACATTAGGAAAAAAACTATTTTTGTTACTGGATATGATTTGGTAGTGTGAAAGTGCATATCTAGGAAGGTTTTGACAAGAAAAGACTTGATATTTAAGCGTGTCCATTAGTGACCCACCTCTCTTTCCTGGAAACTTACCTGGTGTACTGGTTCACGCCGCTGTCACTATCGCCTTTGCCGCCTCCGCCCTTTATGACTTCTTCCGCTCCTTTTAGTACTTCCAATTCTGTCAGTACTACGTTTGATCCTTCCATCTACACTAACTATGTTAATGTGCACTTATCCATTGACAAGTTAACTGGCCCTAATTATGCCACATGGTCATCAGACGTCAGATTATGGCTTAAGAATCAGAAGTATGTTGATCATCTTGTCCCGAAAGCACCTACTCTCACTCCTGGTGAGGAATACCGTTGGGAGACCGTTGATGCTCAATTATGTGTGGTTCTCAAGGGTACTCTTGATCCTTCGTTAAAACAAATTTTTTGTTCCTACGAAACATGTGCCAAAATCTAGGAACATGCCAAGTTATTATACACCAATGATACTCAACATCTCTATGATGTCTGTTCTAAATTTGTAGATGTTATTGCCTCTAAACATTAAGATTCTATGACTGATTATATGGGCAAAATTCATGCTCTTTTTCATGAGTTCAATGATTTATTGCCTCCTTCCCCCGACCCTGCCACCGAGATAGCACAACGATCAAAGTTCTTCATGTTAGGGGAATTACATGGACTTGCTGATCAATATTCACATTTTTGTGATCAGATTTTGGGTTCTCTGGTTGTCCCCACCTTGACATCGACCTAATCCACTCTTTTGCGTATACCAGCAAAACCCAACCCTGACACACCTGCTTCTGTTAATGATTCTTCTGCATTGGTATCTCACCGTGATGACCAAACTCGCCCTTGCAAATAGGGAAAATGGCGTCCTAAGTGTGAACATTATGGCAAGCTAGGTCACAAGATTGACTAGTTTTATGCATTACATGAGTGTGAACATTGTGGCAAGCTAGGTCACAAGATTGACAAGTGTTATGCATTACATGGTCGTCCTCCTCGATCTGCTGCAGTTGCTCAGACTGATCTTTCTCCACCTTTATCTGCTAAGGATCCTCCTTCTTCTATTTCATCAGACACACCTGCTATGTTCAACAAATTTCTCAAATGGTATAAGGATCAACAGTCTTCTAGTTCCACTATGTCTGTCGCACACACAGGTACATCTTTTGCTGGTCTGACCCAATCTTCTTCTGGTCCTTGGGTTTTTGATTCAGGAGCCACTGATCATATTACTGGTAACAAATATTTGTTCTCCTCTTTATCCTCTCCTGATCCTTTTACCTTCTGTTACACTGGCTGATGACTCTAGAGTATCATCTCATGGTGTTGGAACTGTTAAACTTTTCCCTTTTTTAACCATTGATAATGTTCTTTATGTCCCAGGGTCTCCTTTTAACCTGTTATCCATCAGTCGTCTAACTTGTTCTCTTGATTGTGTTGTTTCTTTTACCAATAATTATGTGTGTTTACAGGACCGG